GATGACAAGGACGGCTGTCTCTCTCTCTCTCTCTCTCTCACACACACACACACACACACATGCACATCATCCCCATTTCTTCTCCTTCAGCCCTTCCAGATGGAGCAACCTTCTTGACCCGTGCTGGGTTTTAAAGTGAAGACCTCCACCTGGCCTGCCTTCCTGCAAACTCCCCTTGACCTGCTAAGCCAGACAGTCTGCCTGCAAAGGCTACAGAAAAGAAGGCGATCTCCATCTCCTTGGACTTTCCTGACATTCCACAGAGCCCGTCCGTCCCGGGCTGGGACATGCCAGGGTGTGTGTGTGTGTGTGTGTGTGTGTGGCTTGCCGTGGTTTTCTTTCCTTGAAGGAGCCGTGTATGGCTTGAAAGAGGCTAGAAGGGGAAGGAAGCAGCTTGCCTTCACGGCTCAAATATCCCACCCTGCCTTGGCAATCTCCCCTTTTACAAGCTGAGGGTGCTGAATGGCCTGTCCCAGGTTGCACTGTCTCCAGTAGACTTTTTGATCTGTTGCTATGCAGTGTGTGATACCTGGGAAATGACTGGCAAGATCATCAGGTGGATAATATTTCAACAAGGGAGTTCATTGGGGCTTCAGGTTCAAAAGTTGGCATTGACTAGCGCAGTAAAATCCTCAGGGACTCCTTTACCTGTCATCTTTTCAGATTCAAAGACCAGCAGGGGATCTGGAGCCTTTAAGGTAGCATCTGTCTGCACCTGGGGTTACCAGAATCGGGTTTTGATTGTATGCTACCCTTCTCTTGCTGTTATTCTAACTATGTTGTTCACTGTCTCAGTGGATTGGAGCAGTCCGTAAATACTCTTACTAAAGTAAAAGAGCAACTAAGATGATCAAAGGCCTGGAGACTAAAACATACGAAGAACGGCTGGAGGATTTGGGTTTGGCAACTCTAAGAAAAAAGAAGAACTAGAGGTGAAATGAGAGCAGTCTTCCAATATTTGGGGGGGGGGGGGGCTGCCACAAAGAGGAGGGGATCGAATCATTTTTCCAAAGCACCAAAAGGCAGGACAAGAAACAATGAATGGAAAACTAATCAAGGAGAGGAGCATCCTAGAAATAATGAGAAACTCCCTAAAGTGAGAACAAATAATTAATGGAACAGCTTGCCTTCAGAAATCATGGGTGCTCCATCCCTGGAAGTTTGAAGAAGAGACTGGGCAGCCGCTTGTCTGAAAGGGTCTAGGCTCCCTGCTTGAGCAGGGGGTGGACTAGAAGACCTGCAAGGTGCCTGCAAGCTCTATTCTTTTCATATTCAAGCTGTCCAGCCCTTTCTTGGATTTGCATGGCTCTCCTTTGCAGAGGATCCTGGGGGACAGAACATAACTGGCACCGTTTGTGCCTCTTTGTGGTGCAAGGCCTTTGAATGGGAAGTGCTCCCCCCACACAGTTTAATAGACATAATTGATGCTTTTCTCTAGATGAAGTTTCCCTTGACTCTTGAGGCCATCAAAAGCCATGGAGTTTTCAGAAGAGATTGGCTTCTGGAATGTTTTGATATCCCAGGCTAGCCTACATTTTCCAGGGATTTCTGGATGAACTACAACTTCCATTATCCCTTCATCGTACCAACTGGGTATGGTAGAAGGCACTGTTTAACCCTTTAGTAGGATGGCAGACTGAAGAAAGTTGAACAAAGCAATGTTGTCTCAAAACAGGGACTGGCAACTCCAAGACTTTTTGGGATTCCTCTGGATTTGTAGACTCCAGAGCCCCATAAAACCTTAGCTTTTATAAATATGTCCCTTAAATTTATTTTAAATATATTTAGTATGACTTTTATAGCCTAATTAGGAGCAGGAGGAAAAAAAGCCTTCCTATCCCTTCACATGACCATCAGGGGAAAAGATAGCAATGCTTGGTTTTCTTTTCAAAGAAAAACTAAAAAAAAGAAAATGTTAATTCAAAAATCCAAACCACATTAAAAAAAAAAGTATGCTGGTTGTTAAAACTTTTCAAAATCAACTAAATTCAGGCAGAAAAGCTAAGAGAGATGAGCAGACAAAAATGTCAAACTCCTGATATTCAAACCAAGGAGGAGAAAACTTACTAGATAATTGATCTATTGACAAATCCATTAAATGTCTCTAAATTCTGTTCAAATGTAGTTGCCACCAGGAAGCACTGCTTCTGAATTTCTCCTCCTCCTCCTCCATTATTTGATTCATGGACTTCAATTGGTTTCTTTGCTCTTTGACTATAAATAAAAGTATTGATATGACTTATCATCAATAAGCTGAGTTGGACTATCACAGAAGTGTTCTAATCTAAACTGTTGAGTCCTTCCTTCACACTGGATCTGCCTAGACTTTATCCCAAAACTGCGGGCACTAGCTATCTCCAATTGCAGGAGCCGAATTACTCAAGAGTAATGGCTACTCCTGAGGAGGCTGTCCTTTAATGGTACCTCTCCATATAACTTCCTGCTTCATTGCTTCCTTGCTTTTTCAATAGAAAGGCGTCAACTCTCTTGTGGGCTACATAGACACAGCTTGAGAATGAAGTTAGAGTTTACAGATCAGGACTTAGGAACATGGAGTTATTAGTGCCTCATCACTGATCTGGGAGTCTAATCAGAACTTCTTGGTGGTTGCATCTTCAATGAGATCTCATCTCTGTAAGACCTGACTCATAGTTGGAGTAAAAGGTTGAATCACATGCTTATTTCCAAGCTTAACTAGAGGAAAGATTATACTCAGACGTGTATTAAAAACCAGAGATTCTCTTCTGCTTGTTCCATTATCCTAAGGCTGCTGTGGTGATTTTTAGAAAGCAGTGGTCACTTTACCAGGACAAGCTAGATGTTTTTAAGAATTCAAGATAGTATGCTTTCTGTTTCAAGAGCTCCTTCCCTCCTAGCCTCTGGCTAGATGGTCACAAAAGAATGGCTGGTTGAGTAGAGTCCCTGATATAAAAAGGAACAATTACAACACAGCTGCAATTTTGCATCCCAGGTTTGGAAGGATTACGTATGTTGTTTTGTCTTTTAATGTTATCCCTTAAATCCAAGGACAAGATATTTATGAACACTGAAGGAAGGCTTACATAATAAGATCAGTACAGCTTTACTCTTCAGATGCCACCAGAAGTAATTGGATTGGCCAACAACTGCCAGGGAATTTGGTTCTAATTCTTTGTTCCTTAGGTCTACCATTCTCCATAACTCAGCCTTTCCTGTTTGCTGCTGTGCTTTCATCCTGACCACATTAGCGAGGTGCCCAACATAATCAGCAAACTAAAGGTGCTTTTCAAAAGGCAAACTAGACTTTCTTGGCTTTTTTCCATGAAAACATTTCATTTCTCATCCAAGAAGCTTCTTCAGTTCTAACTGAATGGTGTGAAATGGAAGGATTTACATTATTGCAATCATCCGATCATTAGCACTCTGAAGGCCAGTCCTTAGCTCTCTGAGAGTCATTGAGGCCATTTGGGTGTTTAGATGTACCCTCGGCATCACCTGAACCAGAGTGCAAGTGGCTGTGGAACCTTCTTAGGACTGCTGAAAGGACTGTATTGTAGACTAGAGGTAGACAATGTTGTATCCCTCCCCTTCTATTGTGAGAGGGCTGCTCAATTTTAACATGGATCTTTGACCCCTCTTTCAAACCAGTGTTCCTTTCTGTCCAGAGTGTGACAAGTTCACATCAGTTCTGAGCATTGAAGTCCACAGATCTTCAAGTTGCCAAGGTTGAGAAATTCTGGTCCAGATGCCGGGAAGGTGGGCTGACCCCAACAAAGTTGGACGTAAAGAGGTTGAGATAAGACAAGAATAGTATCGAACACTCCTGTAGATGTTCTCAGCCACCATGGCTGAGTTTACCCTCAGAGAAAAGGATGCAGAGTTTAAATCCTGGAGTAGACACATAAGCATGACTACAGCCTTAGATCCTGCAGTTGCAGATCAATGTCACTTTCACAGCATCTTCCATTAAAGCTACTTATCTGAGTCTAGCCCATGAAATTTTCACTACTAAGCTCCTCAATGCGTGTTGGTATTCCTAAAAAGCCATGGTGGTGAAGTGGTTAGAATGCAGGATTGCAGATGATTCTGCAGACCGCCAGAAATTTGATCCTGACCGGCTGAAGGATGACTCGGCCTTCCATCCTTCTGATGTCAGTAAAATGAGGATCTAGATTGTTGGGGCAAGAGGGTGACTCTGTAAACTGCTTAGAGAGAGCTGGAAAGCATTATAAAGTGCTATACAAGTCTGTGCATTTGCTAGTGTTAGAGACAGGTTGTTTGTTCTTTGTGGGATGGAGCTCTGACACTTCAGATTTCAACTTTCACAACCTTTGCCTTTGCCAAGGGCTTGGGGGGGAAGGGGGGATACAAAAATTCAAGTGACAATGGTCTAATTGAAGCCCTGATCTCTTCTTTACATGAGATGCATATCAAAAAGGCCTGGGACTCCCAGGCAGCTGCCATATTCATTTTTTTTCACCCAAACGTATCTCTCCTTGACTATGCTATTAATAGGATTGATTGGAATTGGATATCTGCTTTGATCCTCCATGTGGTCTCCATAAGAACCCGGTGATAGCACATCACACCAACCTCCATAACCATTCTGATTTCTTTAATGGAACATAGAATAAGGGACTTTGGATGCCTTCTAGAGACATTGCAGCACCACCAATGGCAGAAAATCTTGACTATAAAGCCGAAACTGGAGCCCTATGGAAATTGTTCTAGCCATGACATGGCCACCCAAATTGAGATCTGAATTACAGAAGACAGAATAGCAGAGCTTTAAGGGTCCTTGAAGGTCTTCTAACCCTATACCATTCCGGACAAATGGATCACCAAAACCTTCGGTGATGAGCACTCACAACACATGAAGGCAAGCCATTTTAATGATTAATTGTCCTCCCTGTCAGGAAATTTCTCCAAATCATCTGGGCTCCAATTCCATCTTTTCCTTTCTCCTCTGCCTCCTCCTTATCTTTCCTATGTTATCTGAATCAACGAATCAATAGCATTACCTTTAACAAAGACATATAACTTGGCTGTCAGTTCCTCCGTGAAGGGCAGGTGGTCATAAAAGCAGATGAAATAGCCGGTGTCATTGGCCATGGCTCGGTTAACTCCAATTGTGCTGCAGGAAGGCCATGGTTTCTCTGAACATTTCTGCTTGTGAATATGCCACCGCTTGCTGTGGGTGATCTGTGCCTCTTCAGCTTGCCAGGTCAAGCCATGCGAGCCCCTAGCGAGAGAAAGTACCATTCCATCAGTTTCAGGCGTAACATAAGATGCTGCCAGGCAACTGGCCACAACCACATGGGCTGTTTGCTGCCTGTCCAACAACAACCTTGGCCTATATGGAAATCATTAAGGAGACTACACACCAGGGTAGGAAGATCAAAGGACAATCTAAGAAAATGGGACTCCCTTACAGAAAATAATTCTGTTAATATGGAGAACAACCCATATCACACATGCTATGGTACAGACTGTGTCCTTCAGCACACACAGAGGAAGACCTCATGCTGGGAAAGAAAACATGGCCCGATACTGGGCAAATGTCATTTAGTTTTAATCCTATTTGTTCTTTTTTATATATAAAAATTTTATTTGGGTTTTCACAAAACATAATACAAGTAAAATTTCTTTTTTTGAGAATAGCATGGCCCCGAGTTATCACTTCTCCATGCAGACACAAATTCAATTCCATATTCATCTTTGTGTTCTATTCCATATCTTATTACTATTTTAACATTTTCTCAATAATTTTCCCTTCCCTTAATTTTCTCAATCTTGCTTTTAATTATCTTATTCCTTTCTAAATCCAATTATACATATCTTTTTCTAAGTTTCAATATCTTTCTAATCATTATATTTATACTTTTGTCTGACCTGTTTCAATTTCATATTTTCTTTTCTCATTACACAAAATTTTCCCCTGTAGTTACTGATTGGAGTATGACACCTTTGCATCTTTTAATTCTTATCCATTCAACTCTTATTTAAATTTCAATTTATGCCTTTACAATTATAACATTCAATATAACACATAACTTCCAGTGGAATTCTGCTTGGTGCATTCTTAAAATATGCACTAAGTTCTTGAAGAGAAAGTATATATATTACAAGAATAAATAAAATACTTATTCTATTCCAATTCAGCTCTATCATTAATGTTAGTTATAATCTTTAACATCTTTAACATTTCTTTACAATAGGATATCATACTTCTAGGAACACTTATAATATTTCCATAATTTTTTTCATATTTCTTTCATATTCCTCTTCACTTAAATTTTTATAACACATTAATAATAATTAAAATGTTCCCCTCCTTTCCTAATTTCATTCTCTCTTTCTCTTTATTTCATTTATTTATTAAACATTCCATTACAGTACAATGAGTATTTTATCTATCATTTTAATCACACTTGTTTCGCATTTTCAAAGTTCATTTCTATTTCTAATATAACAATACTATCTTATGTACCCTTACAGAATCCCCCTTTCAATTAAATTTTCACCCATTATCTCTGTGTCTTCTAAATAGGCTTATACCTTTAATCCTTGTACGTTTTCCCTGTTTCTCTTTATCCTGTTTCTGTCCTTTATAATTTCTTTTCCTTTCCCTCTTCCCCCTCTTCTTCTCCCTTCCCTTTTTGACCCCTTCTCTCTCTAATTCTGATTCTCTCTTCTGCAATCCTCTCTTCTGTTTCTTCCTAATATTGTAATTACTTTTCAAACTATTCTTTTTTTGAGTTGTTTTTTCAGATCTTAAATTTTTCACTCTCTTTCCCCCCTTTCCTTTCTTTTCCCCACATAGAAATACTTGGTCATTGAAGATGGCTTCTTCTTTGTCTCACCCTTCTTGTTCAACAGGCATTTCTTATCGTTTCTCATAGTTCAGGATCTCCATTTCTAAAAATTGAAATACGAAGCCAAAAGAACTTCTTCCTTCTTGTGCATCTTCTTTTTGTTTTTTAAGTTCCATTCTCAATTCTTCCAAAAGTGATACCATTTTAAAAACTTTTAAACAACCACCCGATTAATTTTAGTCCTTTAGATCCAATAGCCAAAAATCCAAAAATCAATAAGTAATCCAAATAATCCAAAGCTGTTTCTTCTTGCTTCTTTTTTCCACTTTCTCTTCCTGGGCTTCTATTATCTTGTTACAAAGTTTCAGCTAAAATGTATCTTTTAGGAATCTTGTTAAAGTTTCACTATTAATTCCTTTCACTTCCAGGTGGTCTCCTCCATTTTTCCAGATCCCACCCTTTTGCTTTTTTTCCCTTCTTTTAAAAGTTTTTGAGAATCCAGAAATCTTTATTATCCCTTTGACATTTCATTTCCAGCTTAAATGCCTGTTAATGTCAAAGTGGATTTTTGCTGATTTCTTGCTTAAATCTCTTAGCTGTCAGTATCAGGAAGGGAAGGAAAAAAAACCTAATCCTTTCCCTTCTCTCTCTCCTTCGCAGCTTCAAAATCTTCTTTGGGAAAATGTTATTAAATTTAAATTCCAGGGTACCTTATTTGTTGCTTTTGCTGTTTGACCCGGTCAGCCAAAACTTTCTCTTCTTATCTTCCTCCTGCACATTCTTTTCCGGTCAAGTTCTTCTTTGAGGTGGCCATTTCTGACCACTGCTGCAACCGCCTTCGGGAAAGGGAGTAATGGCCAGCTGGGGAGGAGAGATGTGACTCTCTTTGACCCTGCTGGCAGTCTCCCCACTCTTCACCACCTCTACGGGGTGGCTTAGCCCTGAAACCAGCCAGCTCGGAGTGCTCCAGCGGCGAGCACAGATCAAAAATGCGCACAATCGCGGATCGAAGAAGCTCAGACCAGACTCCCCGTTTTAATCCTATTTATTCTACATGCTTTTGCATATGCTACATTTTCTATGAATTATACCTATTTTATTTGCTCAGTTTTGAATGTTATATAGCTATAATTTGTAGGTGCTTCTGACATGAATAAAGAAGGGCAACATGGAAACTTAGTTTGGTGAAGACTAGGAATCAGGAAACCTCCCTTATTTGCAGAAATTGGCTGGGTGACCTTGGGCCAGTCATCCCCTCTATCTAAGCCCAACCAACCCGGGGGACAAAACAAGAAGAGATAAAATACACATATTTTACATATTCTGTACATAAGTACAGAGCAAGCAAATTCAGTGCAGACTCACGGCAAGCAAATTTCAGAGATTGAGCTAGCCGATGGCAGATAGACAGATCACTGAATGATTCTGTGAGCAACTCAATCTGCCTGCCTGCTTTGCCTGATTTGGGGTAAAAGTTGCTCTTTTTTCATAAAAAAATCAATATTTATATAAATATTTATAATATTTACATACAAGCCATGTCCAGCCACATGACCACCAAGCCACACCCACAAATTAGGCTACGACCACAGTTAGCGATCCCTGGGATCTAAAATTATGAGTTTGGTGGTCCCTGAGGTCCAAAAGGTTGGCCACCCCTGGTTTAGAAGACTGCCAAAGTCCCTTACAACTCTGTCTTTCTATGTTCTACATCAGGGAGAACTGTGTATGCCACTTTGAATTGAACATAGTAAAGTTGGGATGTGAACTCTAATACAAATAAATAAGCAAGTGTTGAAATTCCACATTAAAGGAAATCTGATTAAGCAGTGGAGTAAAGTTTGTGTTTGGCCATGCTTCATAGCAGGGGTATCCAACCTTGGCAACTTTAAGACCTGTGGATTTCAACTCCCAGAATTCCCCAGCCATGCTGGGTATTTCTGGGAGTTGAAGTCCACAAGTTTTAAAATTGCCAAGATTGGACATCCCTGCTTTACAGCACAGTGATGTGTTTTCTATGTCCAGTGGAGGTTTATTGGCCACAATAGAGCCTATGCTCCCAGACATAAAACTACCTGGTGCAGAGAATTGTTTTCAGTGTTTCTCCTTCTTTCTGGAGCCCCAGGAATCAAACAAAGGTAAGAGATTATAAGGCAAGGAGGCAGGCTGTTAGGCCTGTGCAACCTTTTGGAAAACATTAGGAGAAAGTAATTCAGAGTATCAATGTTGCACTACCTGTCTTTAGAGCATTTCCTTTGCTTTCTTTTGACCAATATTTAAATGTTCCCCACTTGTATGATTCTAGAATCTTTCCCTGGCTCATCTGCTTGTCCTCTGTTCCTGTCATTTGGTCCCTGGAAAAGACACGACTGCTTTTAAGAATGAAACACACCTGCACGCTTTGAAGCCCTTGGGGGAAATGAAATGTGAACATTCCCTAGAGAATATTTTAGATCTCCCATTCCTCCTATCCCTCTTCTGTGGACCATCAAGATATATCAGTATTAGTAACAATTCTGCTAACCAGCTAGGAGCCATTTTTAGCCTCTCCTGGCTTTCCTCCTCTGTCTTTGTAATGCTAATCACAAGTTTTCCAATAGTGTTAGTTCTGACTATGCAAGGGCAAAAGAACAATTCATACTTTAAATTTAAGAATAGATACCATCTTTCAGAGGAAGACTTTTTCTATCTTGGTCCTGACCATGCCAAATTTTCCTCCTCCTCCTCCTTCTTCCCCCCATCCCTTTCCTTCTCCTTCAAAGCAACTGGCCAAGATGGGGATAGATACCACCGGCTGCTGTCTTTCACTGAATTTTCAACCTACAGAGGTCACAAAACACTTATGACTCACATTGTTTGCAAAATTGATTTATTTGGCATCCAGTTGCATAATTGCATTACCCACTATCATGTTCTTTCATGCTGAAGAAGATCCTGTAAACCACCTATTTTGCTGCCACTAAATCCTGCAATCTTGTCTTCATTCAGCAAGGCTGTCACAGGTCAGCAATTTCTCAAGCTGCTTCGGGAGATAAATTAACCTGTTCAAAGGTTCTGAGGGATTAAAGTGTGGAGTGCAATCTTTCTTTTCTGCAATGCAACGGGCTGTGGGGAAAGATAACCACAGCAATAATAATGCCATTGTATGGTGTTGGGTTGTGTGTGTGTGTCATAAAAGCCAGGGTGGTGGCTATCACCATGCAAAATAGAATGGGACAACTTGCCATGGCGATCTTGCTGTGGTCGATTTGCTACAGCCAAATGGCCAAGGCCAACTCGCTGTGGGACAATTCGCCACAGGACAATTCAACAATTCCATTTAATTGTTTCAAATAATTAAAACATTACTTTAATTTTTGTCATTACATTTCATTTCGGCATCCTTTGGCATCCTTTCTTTATTCCATCATTTCATCCTTTTTACTCCATCATCCCTTCGATATTACTGTAGCTCTCGTCCCACAGTGAGTTGTCTCCAACAATTTGGCCGTGGCAAGTTGGCTGCAGCGAATTGTAGCTCTCCCCAGTTTGTATATATGCATTGCCAGGATTTATTTGTGGGGCCCTGACCGCCATCCTGGCTTTTTTAGACTGTCCTTATTCTGGACCCCCCTGCGCTATTAACTCTAGAGGGAAATCATGATTGCTGTCCATTGTATTGCAACAAGTTGGCTTGTTTGACTTTGCTGGCAATGTTGCTATACAACATGGAAAGACGCTGCAGGAAAAGAAATGCAGTTAGTTCCTGACTTATGACAACAAGTGGTATTAGAATTTCCTTGCTAATCAAGATGGTTGTTAAATGAATCACATCTGATTTTACAACCTCTTTTCCCCGCAGTTGTTAATTGGATCGCGGCAACGGTTAAATGAATTATGCAGTTGCTAAGTGACTCTGGTTTCTGCATTGATTTTACTGACAGTTAGGAAGGTTGCAGATAGTGATCATGTTATAAATATATGACGGTTGCCAAGTCACCAAATTTTGATCCCGTGGATGCGGAGACGATCGTAAATATGAATACCAGTTGTAGGTCATTGTAAGTCACCTAGACTAGTCCCTGAAGTTTTCTTGGCAGATTTCCAATAGTGGTTAGCCTTCTTCCCAGGTCAGAAAGAAAATGACTAACTCAGGATCACCCTGACAGCTTTGACTAAGACAGGACTAAAACTCATGGTTTCCGGTTTCTAGCATGAGGCCTTCACCACACACCAAACTGACAATCACAATATTATATCTATCTTATCCCAAAGTCTGTTTCAGCACTTCTTGCAAACCTTCCACCCTGCATAGACATTCTTTCATGGACTATTTTTTTTTGAAGGTCGGTCTGGAACTACACTTATTTTTCCCTCTGCTCAAGACGTTTAGGGAAACTGTGAGTTTTAGGCTGATGCCTCAGATCCTAGAAGGTATTTCAGAATAACAGAATAATAGAGTTGGAAAGGACCTTGGAGGTCTTCTAGTCCAACCCACTGCTTGAACAGGAGGCACTATCCCATTTCAGACAAGTGGCTGTCCAGTCTTTTCTTAAAAGCTTCCAGGGATGGAGCACCCACCACTTCTGAAGGCAAGCCATCCCACTGGTTCATCTCACTAACTGAATTAACTGATCTCACCGTCAGGAAATTTCTCCTTAGTTCTACCGTGTTTCTCATATAATAAGGCCGAGTCTTTTTTTTTTTTTGAGCCCTGAAAAAATGGCTAGGGCGTCTTTTCGGGGGTGACTTAATTCCCCCCCACTTGCATCTTTGGGTGGGCGGCGACGGCTTGGATGTTGACCTCGGCGTTGGTGGGGCACTTCGTATCGGGGTCAACGCAGGCAGCACCATATCCGGGTGTGCAACAAAAGTACTTCCTAATGGCAAGGCCCCACCACCACCATTCCCCCCATTTTGCATGTTTTAATATAGGCCTTAATTTGGGGGGAGGGGCTTAATTTCATTTCATGCCTATAAAACAGGCTGGGACTTCCTCTTGGGGGAGGCCATATTGTTGGAGAAACAGGGTAGGTTGCTTCTCTCCTTGATTAATTTCCAAATACTGTTTCTTGTCCTGCCTTCAGGTGCTTTGGAAAACAGGTTGACCACCTCTTTGTGGCAACACCTCAGATACTGGAATCCTGCTGCCATCTCCCCCCTCCCCAGTCCTTCCTTTTCTCAAGATTAGCCATACCTAATTTCTGTAATATTCCAGGACAACATCTCCTGGAAATCTAAATTTCCACTTGGTTTGGAATGCCATGTATTTACCTGCAAGTTATGCTGAAGGAATCTCCGGTTTCCACTATAATATAGTCACGATTGATGTTCAGTTCAGGTTTCATAAGCCTTTCTTGCTTCGCCAGAGCTGAGCCGGATGGAGGGAGAGAGAGGAGAGACAGGGATTAAATGAGAACAGTTCTATTTCAACAATTTTTGTTCCTTATTTTTCATGCTAAATAATAGTAATTGCATAGTCCCATGGCTTAGTGTTTTTCTTAAAAAAATATAAAATAGAAAGTTATCCTATTTTATTGCTTGTTTATGAAAACAAAAGTAACCTTTAACATTCCTTAGTCATTCCATCCTAATTTATAGTGCGTTTCTCCAAGATAAACATCTAAAAGAATGAAATCAAAAGAATAACCTCTTCACACACTACCCTGTTTTAAAATGTCCAATCTTAGCATTGGAATATGAATTTTCCCTTTAGTTATGTAAATTTTGGGTCGGCAATATTCCTATTGGTTAGTAACTATGGATACACGTTAGGCAATCAGATGTAGTAAATGTCATTTCACCTCACCTCACAAAAATACTAGGTGTATAATTATTATTTTTTAAAAAGTAAAACAACCTATTCTTTGTCAGTCGATTTTGACCCTAGCTTTCCATTTATAGAACATTCGAGGGGGCTGAGATTTGAAAAATGAAAGAATTGCAGAAAGAGGAATACAGGATGGGAAAACCTGACAATTAAATATTTAGAGACAAATGTCATTCACAGGGGACAGTAATGAACACTGTAAACTGTTCTCATCCATTGTTTTCTGGTGGAGAATTATCTTGCCAAATAAAGCTGCGAAGTAGCATAAATTACTTCCTATTTCTTTATGTGTTCAATTTCTGTCTCATTGTTTCCTTCAAAAGTTCACAATGACATATGTAATGCTACCTTTTCCTATAATGTCACAAGCAACCTTGTGCATGGAGGGAGGGAGGGAGAGAGGGAGGGAGAGAGAGAGAAAGAGGGAGAGGGAGAGTGGGAAAGAGGGAGGGAGAGAAAGAGAGAAGAGAGAGAGAGTTTGTTCAATGTCCTAATTCATGTTTTGCTGATTATTACATCCTCCTCCAAACTCATTTCTGGTTCTCTACATTTATAAAACCATAATGAATGGTTCGGCATTATGTGAAAATGCAGCCACATTAGCTCATTCAGTGAATCACAATTGTCAGGTACCCCAAGGCATCAGAATGATACTGTGAATTGATCAGAGAAGTATCTTTATTGCGACTCGTCAATTCATAAGAATCTCACCAGACTAGCCACACTTTCTTGAGAACAACCAGGTAAGTACTCTGGTGATTTAGGAGGGGTCAGGTCGTCTATGGATGAATCACACCTCAATAAAGATGACCACACTTGAAGCAGTACAGCTATTGAAATGGAACTAGCGGGTTAAGAAGCCAGTTGTAAATCATCTCAAACACTTTGCAATGCATTGCCAACCATGTGCACCATGACTTCATCAGATGCAAATGTTCTGATTTGCATCAGTTGCCACTACTGTCCTGACAGGTGTGAAATATTGACTGGCTGAATCAAACAGCCCTGACAAAGTGCAAATTTAGAGTGGCATTGAATTGCTGTCCAAATATATAATCTGGACAGGGGTTTTTTTTTTAATGAACATGTGAAAGTGAAACAAATTGGAAAATAGAGTAAAACTCCTATGTCCTATGTCAGTTGAAATACCTGTGGTGCAAATCCATATTTATTTTGCAATAAAAGTAGTCCTTCAGAAGAAAAAGAAGTTGGGTGGTAGAATAGGTTGGATTAAGGAAGAATCTTATCTATGGTTTCCACCAAGGTCCCCACAGTCCTCCTCCTCCTCTTCTTCCCAAACCCTACTCCCTTCTAACACTGATGATGTTCTCTAGTGGGTCATAAAATGCCTGCAAGAAAAGTTAAGAGTGCACCAAAGATTCCACAGTTCAACCCTGGCCTGCAAATGTTCTCTTCTCTCAGTACCTTTTAAACATGCATTGCAGGTACGCAAAACAGTGTATGGTGTTGATTCCCTCAGTGACCTCTCTCATGGATAAACATAACATCTAGGTTTGTGTCCAGCATTGTAATCAGTGGTGGGATTCAAATAATTTCACCACCGGTTCTCTGCCCCAGTGATTTCTTCCAACAACCAGTTCACCAAACTGCTCAGCAAGTTAACAACCGGTTCTCCCGAAGTGGTGTGAACTGGCTGAATCCCACCACAGATTGGAATGCATCTGAACCCTCCTCCCAGCTAAATTTCCTTTTAGGGGCAAGCCAGCAGACTTTCTCTACCTTATCTGAGGTCCTCAATTTATTTCCAACTAAGCTTATTTACATTCAATGTACAAAAACATAGCCTGTTTCATGCACCATTAAAATGAGAATGCCCCTCTTGTGTGGCTCGTCCTTGCTCTGTAGAGCCACCAGCACTGGAGATGGGAGCTCCACTCTGAAAATATTTGCTTTTACTAGCATCGTTACACGGCAGCGCTGGGCCTCCCACATGGCCCCCTCTTTGCAGTCCTAACAAACCTAACGGCCCTATTTAAATGAGGTCAGGGTGGATCAGAAATATGCTGTGTTTCCCCGGATGGCTTTGAAAGGGCCATTATGGGGACTGTAAAAATCATTTTAGGTGTTCTATCTCAGCCAGGATAATTATGACCAGTAATAAAGACTCAGCTGTACAAATGCAAGTCATAATTCTGTGGGAATGCAGGAAAAACACCCTTTGAGCAGGACTTTGATGTGCACATACACTCATTTGCCGTGTGATCAGAAATGTTTTTAAAAGACTTTACAAGAGAACCGAAAAAGGAGGTGAGCAGGGCTAAGATTTTCTCCAGCAGGAGGTGTGGAAGGAGTGTAAAGCATTAGTACCCCTTTACAAAGCCTTAGTAGGGCCACCCTTGGAATGCTGCATCCAGTTTCAGCCACCATATTATAAGAAAAACGTAGAGACTCTGGAAAGAGTGCAGAGAAGAGCAACAAAGATGATTAGGGGTCCTGGAGGCTAAAACATACGAAAAAAAGGGTTTCAGGGATTGGGTCGGGGTGGGATGCAGATATTTTTACTACCGGTTCTGTGGGCATGGCTAGGTGGGAGTGGCTAGGTGGGCATGGCCATGTGACTGGGTAGGGGCGGCTTCTTCTTTTTTTTGCAGCACACACACACAGAGACACACACAGAGAGAGACACACAGACACACAGACACACACACACAGGCTCCGTTTTTTTGCCTCCTGGGCCTCAGGGAAGCCTCTTGGGCAAAGCAGTAAGACAGCGAGGAAGATCATCAGAACAGCTGATCGTTGGGAGGGGAAAAAAAAAAGAAAGACCAGTTCTGCCGAACCAGTAGAATCCCACCACTGGGTTGGGTTTGTCTAGACTGGTGAAAACAAGGACTGGGGGGAGACAGGATAGCAGTTTTCCAATATTTGAGGGGCAGGTTCAACCTATTCTCCAAAGCCCCTGAGGGCAGGACAAGAAGCAACAGATGGAAACTAACCGAGGAGAGAAGCAATCTGGAATTAAGGAGGAATTTCCCGACAGTGAGAACAATTCATCAGGGGAACAGCTTCCCTCCAGTGCTCAAACATTAGAGACTTTCAAGAAGAGCCTGGACAGCTATTTGTCTGGAGTGGTATAGGACAGTGGTGGGATTCAATTTGTTTTCCTACCGGTTCTGTGGCCGTGGCTTGGTGGGCGTGGCAGGGGAAGGAGACTGTAAAATCTCCAGTCAGAGGCGGGATTGGCCGGTTCTCTGAACTACTCAAAATTTCCGCTACTGGTTCTCCAGCACTGGTCAGGACCTGCTGAATACCATACAAGCAGTGTTATAAATCATGATCATAATCATAAAATATAATCATGATAAATCATAAGATACAACACCCAAATGAAAACTGGAAGAAGTGCATCTGTCTTGTATCACTGGGGATGGAAAGATTCCCCTTATTGTGATTGTGGAGCTGATGTGCAAACTAGTAAACATATTGTGCAAGATTGCCCCATGATCTCTGCTTTCTGGTTCCCTGGAAGATCTGCATGAAGCAATGCCAGAGGCAATAGCCTAAACAGCTGAACTGGACATCTAGCTAGGAAGCCCCTACAATACCCCCATAACTTATAATTACATGGACTGTGTATATATGTTTACTTCTATCATGTTCTCATCATACATTAAATAAATAAGTAATAAGCACAACTCACAAACCCTACCGGTATTAGAGAGGAAACTTCAGCAGACACTCCCAGGACCAGATATTCCTCACAAATGCTTATAATCCTGACAAAAATAAACTCAAGATCGCTCATAAGAGGTGGAACTTCTTGGCCAAAAGAATATACATCGGGTATAGTTGTAAAGAAGGATCTGTGTCCTTGGAGAAACTTGAACCAAACTGCAACCAGAGTTTAATGTGTGTGTGTGTGTGTGTGTGTGTGTGTGCGTGCGTGCGTGCGTGTTTTCCTTACTCCCCATTCCACCCTGCCAAAAAGTTGAACAAAACCATTCTGGATAAATCCTCAAAAATGGTGTGTGTGTGTGTGTGTGTGTGTGTGTGAAGTAGACTGGTTTGCTCATTCTCATTTCACAATCCTAGAAAGCAGATCAGCTGGCTGTGCTTCACAAAGCAGATGATGATATACGACACATTGAAGGAAACCATCCGGCTTTTTGTCTGACTCTCCTCTGTTGTGGTCTGATAGCAGTATTGTTCACCAAAGGGAAATTTGGCCTCAGAATAGCAATAACAGTAGCAATAACAATAGCACTTATATGCCACCTCCTAGTGCTTTAAGCACTCTGTGAGTGGTTGACTGGGTTGCTCGCAACAATCTCGCTCCAACCTCAGAAGGAGGGAATGCTGGGTCAACCCTGAGCCCATACTGCACTCTAACCATTATGCCAACAGAACTCCTCCCTTTCCCTAGAGATGTGGGAAGGAAGGAAGGAAGGAAGGAAGGACCCTGAGTTTTTTCAGAGTCCTAACAAGTAGTGTTTGTTTGTTTGTTTATTCCATTTCTATAGGCCCCATATGACTCTGGGTGGCTTAGAAGTGTTTTTCAACAGGGTGTCCACAGCCGATTG